GCCAGAATCTGGTTTTCTTCTAGCACAAAGTATTCGGAGAAAGATTTTGTTGAATCCGTATGGGCATATGTTCAGTGTGTACAATGTTACAATTAAGTTTTCACCAAGAATGTCACAATTGCAAATTGAGCTTCTTTCTCAGTCAAGATCAAATTGTACATATTCTAAAACATGCACATGCTGTACACATTACATTAAAAAGACAGTTTTTCCTCTCCAAAAATGAGTAATACTAATAGTTATAGTTATATTAAAAACAAGACTTTATTTGTAACTGTCATTAAAATTATATTTTTTGAATTGATGTCAGTTGATGCCAAGTTTCCTTCCATCAACTTGTCCCACAGTGCACAGTTTCCAGTGTCTGACATCTATGTTAACAGCTGGGCTGATTTGATTCTGAAGACAGAGGAGGGTGTGGGACCACTGTTTGGAAAAGTTATTGGGATGTAGTCCATTTTGTGTCTGTTGTTAGGCTAATGTTCCAAGAGGCAGGTTCCCAGAGTGCTTTATCAGTGATGAGAGCTACGATAATGGATTATTTACCATACAGCTTGTGTTTGTCTTTGGACTTTTCCCTAGAAGCAGCAGCCAAAATACAGCAAAACATAGCAGCCTTCAAAACCTTGAGAAAAATAGTGTTGTACCTTTGGTGCACACTGATGTGTTGTCTAGTCTGGCAAAGCAAGCCAAACCCAAAGCACTCTGAAGTCAACCTCTGCCTATTGTCTCCTCCTTTGTGTGTCTTTATCTCACACCCAAGAAATGTTGTGCTTTTGTTGTGCTTGTGTAAACAGGGCTGTGTGAGAACTTGGCAAATGGAAGCAGGTGGCCGCCGAGGTTCTACTGTCATGAGCATTAAAGAAAAACACAACAAGTGGAGAGGTCAGGGCACAGCTGCGCAGGCCAGCCCAGCTCCAGTCCTCTGCAGAGCTGTGAGCGGGTGGAGTCCAGCCGCCATGACAGGGACAGGCAGGGGTTTCTAGTGAGAGGCAGGTTGATGAGCTGTGCCGCAGGCTCTGCTTAACCTTCACCTGCCTGTTCAGGTGGGAGCCACGTGACTCTTGTTTGTACTGTACTCTTATATTCCAGACAGGGAAAACACAACACACTGTAAACAAATAGGAACTCTGACCTTTTTTATGATCCACTGTTTGCTCCAAACACTTGTTTTGCAAGCAACTCCCTGCTCCCAAAGAACAGGCCAGCACCTGATGATCAACAACAGCACTGTCTTTGCTTGCTTGTTCTGACGCATGCTTTGATGTGCTGTAATTAAATTTCTTTAAGGATTTCTCAACTCTGAAAAACTGATATACCTCATTTATAATAGACTAGACTCTTGGCTACCTTCTGTTTGGTTTATTTTGTAGTGCTGCAAACACAATAATGACGGAAGTAAATAAATGCTACACAACAGCTTGTATTTTTCAGATAACTGTTGATATGTTTCAACTGCTTCACCTTGAGAATATTTTGTATTGACATTTACTATGCTCTATTTTAAAATAGAATGAAACAACATGCATTAATATTTTAGTTTTATACATTTATTGCCTCTCTTTTTTACTTCTACTAATTTTGTCTAATACACTTAGTGAAGTGTGTTTGTGAAGGTGCATGTAAATAAACAGTTGTATAAACACACACTGGGCTGTTACTGTGGCTCTGCTCTCAGCTGATGAGTCGTCCCTGCCTCAGTGCCTCCCAGATTAACATTGTTATCAGCGGCGCCCTCTAATAAGGCTCTTTCCTATCTACTTGATATTTATGATGGATAATGCCCATTTTCCATTTTCGTTATTCCTCCAATTTTTTTCTCTCATGATATTGCTGCTTTGAATTATTCTGTGGCGAAATTAATGAGAAAGTAGATTTATGGCTTTCATTTGTTTGTCAATTTCAAAATTAATTGGGTGTTAATTTTAGCCATCCCCTCATCAGTGCCGGTCCTAAGCGTGCATGCATTACTTTGCATATATTGTACCCTTTTTGCTCCTTTATTGTGGGTCACTAGTTTTGCATACATTAATATAGCCCTGCAGCTCATTCTCTTGATTACTTTTGGAGATGCTATGCATTCAGGAAATTTACGCCCTTCCGATATAATTATGAAAATTTTGCATGGGATGGCAGTGCATGTATAATAGCCATTACTTTCAGTGCTTTTATGCCACATTGGAAATAAGGCTGTGGAAAAATGCGTTTTATTTGAAGAATAAGCGAGGTGGATAACATCAGTGCACGGTGTATTTCTAATGGCATTTAATTTAGTGTGGTTCTAATTGGGATTCAGCATGAAACTAGGCCTCTAGATGGAGCTTTGGCTGGCCACATCCCACAGCTTTGCTTACTTGGTTCTTGTTTATAAAATCCCATTATGGAGGGAGGTAGTGCCAGACTGCAGGGGTGAGCTGGGTCAACATGTGTCTGGAGGGAGGGGCCCAGGGAGCTGCTACAGGACCGGCCCATTCTGCTCAGACAGGCCTGAGTGTGGGGGCGTTCTGACACACCACTGAACTCTCACATGACTCACTCTGCACCAGAGGAGATACAGACCATGTGGTCCTGAGTTCTCTTATGGAAGCACTGCCTTCAGCCTGACACAGTATTAGGCTGAGGATGTAGGAAGAATAAACAAAAATGTGACTCTCCACTTACCTGGCCAGAGAAATAATGATATGACATTCTATTATGACAAATACACAGTGCATTTAATTGTGTTTTTCATTTTATTTTTTAAATAACACTTGGCAGGTGGGCAATGATGGTAAGTGCAGTGAGGATCTTTGATTTTCTGCAAGGAATTGTGGTGTGTTGTATTTATTTATGTATTTATTTATGTATGTATGTATTTATTTGTTTGTTTGTTTACAAACACCAGATATTTTAAATTACAAATATTATATTCTGTAAGTTGTCATTATCTAACTTTTAGCTAGTGTTTTGTAATGTTTTATAACATAAATTTCACTGTGCAGAATATGCATTCCTGTCCCAAACTGTAACATTTGGTGCTGAATTCTTTGCTTCTGATATGGTACTTTTAATAAAGCCGTTTCTTGAATATTATCTCACCTAGTCTCTGTAAATATCCTGTGACAAGTTGTCAACCTCAATTTCCTATCTGTCAGTATGAGTGTGTGTCCCTGTGGTGTCTGCATCTTGTTTAGACCTGGGTCTCTGGAGACACTGCCTATGTATTTGAGCACTATTAACTGGCATGGCCCTCCCATTACAAGGCTAAAAGCCTAGCCCATAAATCTGCATTTAGTTCCATTTTCACCTTCTTTCATGATGAGGCTCTGTGTTTTAAAGGCATTTATTCTGCTTCATATAAATAATTAATCAGCCAAGTTAATTTGCTTCTGCCCGACTTGGTCAGCTTCATTAACCACCCTGGAATTGGGAGGCTAGACGCCATGCACCGAAGAGGCTGGCATCCCACGCACAATAGATGTAAATCACCAGTTTGATTTGAGAGGTAGAGGCACAGATAATGTGAACTGTGTCACCAGATCCCATCCTTTGAGAGAAGAGTGGGAGGCAATGCCTGTCCTATGCATTTTAGGTATTTTATTGAATCCAGTTTTTATGGTGATTACCTTTGCCATTAAACTTTAAACATCAAACATACATGACAATACTTCTCCAAATATGTATTTTCTTTTTTTTTTTTTTTTTTTTGAGGGAATAGTTCTACAGCATTGTTGGAGCTCAGTATACTGTCCTTCCACAAAGAGGTGTTATCTCACAATGGTACATAAATATTTTGCCATGGCATCACAGAAGTATACTATCCTTTATTAATATAATATTTAAGGCTTTTTTTTTTTTTTTTTTTTTTTTTTTTTACAGTATCTGGTGGTCAAAATGTAGATGGAATGCTACACCTGAATGTAGCTGCAATATTTCTGACAAGCATTGTAACTGTGGTTAGATTTGCGATTTAAACTTATGCAAAGCCGACAGCATGTTTGTACAGATCTGAGCTTTAACATTTGCAGTTTTATGAAGGATATTTTGTTATTTGTGGAGGAAATTGTGCAGTCTTTGTGATTTGGTAATTGCATGCATTGAAATTGTGATTACAGTTCGAACTCACTTCACACTATTAACAATTATTAACATTACATTACCTTACAGCTATTAAGATATGAGTGGTCAACAGCACATTGAATAAAAATAATATGAAGTTATACTATACTATACTATATATTTTATGAAAAAGTAAGATTTTAAGAAGGCAATAATCCTGGTTACACAAAGCAAAAATAGTATGCAGCAAATGTTAACTGCTGGTGCTTGTATATTATGTTTAAGAGAAGGATGTAGTTATGAAAGACAACTTTTTTTATAACTCAAAGACCGTTTATATCAAGACCTGTGTTTTGGTGTTAATTGAGCATCCCAGAAGGACTTGCCTGTTTTTCGCCTGAATGTTTCTCATGGAGATCCTTTGGCAGGCCTCACACAGTCTCCCTGTTTCCCATTAAAAGCCATTCTGCTGGGATTCTTCTGGGAGCCTGTGCGAGTAAATATATCCATTTCCATAGAAAGTGTTTTGTTTTGGAGGTCCACTGTTTTCTTGGGCTTCTCTGCACTCACTCGGTCCAGGTTGGGTTCCTCTCCTAGTGCGTGCCATACCCCCCTCCCTTTCCACATGTTCCTCCTGTAATGAACAAAACAAACAAATATAAACTCTATTTGTCAGAGAACCGCACTGTAAAAAAGGGAAACAAAGAGAGCAGTTGATTAGCCTGCGGAGAGGAGGCCTGCTGTATCGTATGCATGTATATTTGCCTCATTGCACACAAGCAAACAAATACAAACCAGAGCCCAAACCTGCAATAAAAGTGAAATTGTGTGGGAAGCATTTGACAGATGTTTACAGTTTGGTCCAGAGTTGAAATGCGACCTCATAGTTGTGTGTTTTAACAGCTGTTTCACCCGTCTTCTTCTTCTTGTCTCTGTTTTTCTCTCTCTGCGTCTTCTCCCAGGCTTTTAAGTCATGATGCAAGAATCTAGGACGGAGGCGACGAGCAATGGACAGGCCAATCAAAATGGAGCGTTGGGTGTAGAAGGCGGATCCAGAGAGGGACGGCCTGACAGCTGCCCGCCATCAGTAGAGGTGACTACAGCCGACCTCTTGCATCTCCAGCACCACCAGGTAGGCCCTTCACACCTGTCTGCAGTTCATTAAAGCACGTCAACCGCACGCCCAGCACTTTGAAAGTGCCACTTAATATTTCATTACTAGTCCGGTACACTGGGTGCATAAACACATTATCATTATTATTATTTATGTATATTGGGGCACTATTTTAATATTTAAACACTGGGAAGTGCTCTCTCCCTCTGATTGTCTTTAGTTGTGGATGTGTTTATTGCAGCATGCTGCATCTGCATTCCTGTAAAATATTCATAATTCTGTTCGGACGCGTGTTAAAAGTGTAGGTGCCACAGGAAGTTGTGGACACAGGAGAAAGTAGAACGACCAATAGGACGATAGCATTATCTTGGATCTGTTGTAAACACTCCTCACACTCCTGCTAATGCCATGCTCTGCCGTATTAGCTGATGTGTTGTGGAGATGCACAGGGACATTATTGCTGAAGACGCCTAAACACTTAAAGCATCTTCGACTTGAAGCAAACAGACAAGCTTTTCTTGTTAGTGTCAGCATTATGTGTGGCACACAACAGTGTGTTTAAGGAAACAACATTGAAAAGATCAGTGTGTCTGGTGCTATCTGGGCCAATCCGACAGGACGTCTGGGCTGTTGTCATGAGCTGTTGTCTGATGATGCTCGGGCTCTTTGCTGCTGTCTGTTGTCACAGCACATCCATCAGCCTGAGCCTGGCTCAGCCACTGCCACTGCCTTAAACAAAGGATGCAGACCCTTTGGCATTCTGAATTCATATTCAATGTATACATTTTAACATCTAGATAAATATGTTGATAGCAGCCTTTGTTTAGCTTCTTACATTGGTCAGTTTATTTTATGACGTGGGCTTTGTACAGACTAAATCTCCATCAGTTAGTCCTCGGCAGTAACACCCAGCTCCATAGTACAGCCTTTAGGCCTCTCCAAAATCCTCTCCTCATCCCACAGCCCCGGCCAAAAACCCCACCTCCGAACCATCTTTTTCCAGCTCAAGAGAAGCATGTCGTCAGTGAGAAAATCAGAGCCATACTGAATTCATTACAGCAGTAGTCACACAAAACCATGGATAAAATTTCAATAACTGCAGGCCACAGTTGAGTAAACAGTTGCACTGAAACTTAATTCCTGTTGACTTTTCCTTCATTCTTGGCCAGGGGCACATTGAGATCAGCTCTGCAAAGACAACAGCGTTACAACTGTGATGAATGTGAGTCAGGGGGACATGGGGAGGGGGTGTCATGGATGTACACTTGACATTAAGAAGGGTGACTGCAATGAAGCCTTTTTGCTAAAATGGAGACAGCCATCCAGACACTGCCCCTGATTTAAGTCAAGCAGAAAGAAACATTGTCACACGTGGGGTAATAGCATACCACAAGAAGGTATGGCCACAACTTCTCCACCAAAGGCCAATATTGGCATTGTGAACTACAACCTTCCAATAATGTTATATTCTAAATATTACATTTACCTGTTTTAAATAACAGTGAATATTACTTCATTTTTACAAAGGATGTTGTGGTTTGCACCTAGTGATCTTTAGATTTTTGCAGTGGAGGGTAAGAATGAAAAATTACTTTTTGTCACTGTCTGGAATTAGTTCTTCCTTCGGCCCAAAGTTGGTGGCATTGGTTCTAGCCAAGTGGGTGAATGTAATTTTCATTTGGAAGCATTGCTTTCCTTGTCGTATATTTTGTTCAGTTTCTTTGTTGTGGACTTGGCATTGACTGGGCCATATAAATTGTTGCTTTTGATGAATGGCAAACGGTGCGTCTCACTCTCTGACACTGGCCCCTGATTGGCTGCTTACCTCAGTAGTCTTTTATTCTCCCATTAGACTAAACCAGGATTTTCACTCATGCACCATGAATCATGTTAATTGTCCCCAGGGTATTACAATCTTCACTCAATTACTCAATAACTTTTTACTTTTGTGGCATTCCTCGTTTTATTTGCAGCATACGCTAACACAAGCCTAACTGGCACGTTGGTGTTTTTTGTAGCATTCTTTGTTCTACTCAATAGATCTGAGCTGTTCTTTCAGGTGATGCAAAAATCAATTGATAAATCCTCAAGGGAGAGCCCTGAGTGAGTGCGAACAACAAACCTGGCACTGACATATCATTTATTCTTATTATGGAACATAAGTATGAAAGACAGTGCTCATTAATAAAGATGGGGGATGAAATAATTGTAATGTGTTTGATCATCTTGATTCTGACAGGGGAATTCATCTTGTGGGCCAGTTAGATTTGAGGGAAGTGGACCATAAGCTCAATTTAAGCATCTCTATTAGTAAGACACATAGGAGGAGAAAAAGACCTTTTTTTATACAACGATTGTCCAAGTGGAGTAAGGGACGCTAAATGATGAAAAGGATAGAACAGCACATGTCCAACTAAGGTCAAGTTTATTTAATCATTCATTTATGAGTTTTAGATTTACCACTGGTTTATCAAACCAGTGGTAAATCTAAAACTGGTTCTGTCTAACCATTGTCTTACCTAATTTTTGGTTTTTGGTCATTTTTTATCGTATTTTATAAGGGAATGCTAGTAATTGCCTCAAAATTGTTAACCGTTAACAAGATGAAAGAACAGGCTATTTGCAGCCTTCATCCAATGTGATGTTTTTTATTGTATTATTATATTGTTGAGTATTATGTACTTTGTCTTTGATAATCACTCATTTTTGTTGCTTTGTAAATTGCGTTTTGCTACCACAAATATTTTGAGTTAAATATGTGATTTCTAGAGCTCCAATATTGTGTCACAGCCTTCTGGTTTATTTGCTGTGCTCATAATTATTGAAATAGAAGGAATGATGATTGTCTGTGTACGCTCATATTCTTTACATTGTAGAGGCACTCTGTCTTCCATAGGGCTTTATCACCAGCAGCTCTCAGGTATCCTCCTGGCTGTTCATATTGTCACAAGAGGCCACACACACCCAGCAACTTATTGGAAATCTGGCGGAGAGGATAACATCAGTGTTATGACACTGCATATTGCCCTAAATTGCTTTATTGGTAAAATGATAGTGCTCGTCCAATTTGAATAATTTTATGGAATCCCTCACAGAACAGTTTAATTATGTTATCACACAACTGGCAACATCTGTCTTTATACCACAGCACATGACAGTTTTATTACAGGCTGGATTTCTGCGCTGTTTCTGGCAATTGATGTGTGATCTGATTAATAATCACACAGATGGAGGTGAAAATTGAACAGTGATGTGCTGCTACGTCAAAAAGAAAGAAAATAATTATTAAAGCAGAGAGAACACAGGCAGTATAGAATCTTAAAGCCCTGTTTGTAGTCTTTTTGTCTTGTTGAAATCTATATTGTTTTGGTATGTTTAACATGTTTACATATAACCATAACTCTACTGTACATGGTGCCATTCTTATGCTAGGAATATGGATAGTTGTTTAATTCATGGTGGTTTATTTTAAGCTTTTCTTTTTAAGGATCTGGTACCAGCTCCATGGAGATGTTATTAGTTTACTTAGAATGTTCCACAGTATACCGTTTAAAGTATTTATCTTGCATTTGTCGTACAGGTGTTTCATTTAAATACCTTGAAAAACATGTATTCTTACGATGAGTGAGGCCAGTTGACACAGATCTGACTGATGCAGTATGACATTAGATAATTTTAATGCCATACTGTGGAATATTCCAGGCAAACCATTTACATAGAGACAAGCAGGTGGTGAACCCTGTACCAAAAGAGTATCACAGTGCACTGTAAAGCCACTCTTATATCTTGTCTGCCATATTTTAGCTTTTTTGTGGGTAAAATTACTGAACTTTATACAACCAGAACCAAGACCAAAGTTCATCTATTGGTTGGACATATGACCCCAAGTACAATGTAAAACAAACACTGCACTCGTGTACTGTACATTTGTTACCTCTACAGTTTCATTTATTTTTTATCTTTCCAATCTGTTTAGTCTAGGTGCAACATTTCATGCGCTACTGTCACCACTGTTTTGTTAGTGGGCTTTTAGCAGGTAAGCCACCCAGCACCTCTCCTTTGTCTTGTGGACGCCTTCCAGGACAGTCAGGGCTATGAAGTCATCCATTTTGTTGAGTCTACCTCCAGCTGCTGCTCCTCCACTCGACTGGGAGGAGATGGGCCTCAGGTTGTGCACTGGAGTTTAAAATAGTTGACTGTTGCTCGGCTCCACATCCTGTTTACACTCTGAGCTGATGTGGGCAGCAGGAGGGGGATTCCCCAGCTGTTTGACAGGGTGGTGACCAGAGGCAACACATGGAAACATACAGACACCCAGTGCATCAAATCATTACACAGTAACACACACATAAAATGACATCAAAATATAGGGCTGGACAATACAGCTACAAAAACTACAGCACTGTTGTATGTTAACCTACAGTTACCATAGCACCACATGCATTTAGACAGCAGTTAAGCTAGAGCTGGGCGATATGGTGATAAAAATCTAATCATGATCTCATCACTATGACAATATGTTATTCACTTTATTTACTGCAGCTGTCTGCCCAAATGCTTTTTCCCACTCACTTCTCCTATTGGTTAGCCTCTGTAAGGCTCTAAGTGAGAGACAGCTGGATTTAACCAATCACAATGAAGTATGTATGAACTTCCAGAAGAAGCAGATTGCTTTACTTCAAGACAATACAAGGCAATACAAACATGTGAACATGAAGTGTAATGCAGTCGACATTATTATATGACTCATTTAGCCCAACCTCTCCTATGTTAAGCAACATAGAGTGTCATGACTAAGTACATATCCTTTGTGATACACATAGGCAAGTAGTTATGTGTTTTACATTGTGCCCCTAATTGTGCAAAAGTATTACTAATATTGCAAAACTCAACTTCCAAAATTCTTGCTCCTCCTTGGCCCTAAGCATGATGGAAAAAAGTACTAGTACTGTACATATTTGGACACACCCTAGTGCCTGACATGTGTAATGTAAATGATGCAAGAACTATACATGCTG